ACTTACGTAAATAGAAGACAGGGTTGAAAAATAAAACGCACAATATTGTTGGTAGAAATACACACAGTTAACCAATATAATGGTGGAGGACTTAAGATGGTGTTTAAGATAATCTTGGACCAGGACACATCACAACGTCTTGGACCAGGATACATCACAACGTCTTGGACCAGGACACACCACAATGTCTTGGACCAGGACACATCACAACGTCTTGGACCATGACACATCACAACGTCTTGGACCAGGACACATCACAACGTCTTGGACCAGGACACATCACAACGTCTTGGACCAGGACACACCACAACGCCTTGGAACAGGACACACCACAACGTCTTGGACCAGGACACATCACAACGTCTTGGACCAGGACACATCACAACGTCTTGGACCAGGACACATCACAACGTCTTGGACCAGGACACATCACGTCTTGGACCAGAACACATCACAACGTCTTGGACCAGGACACATCACAACGTCTTGGACCAGGACACATCACAACGTCTTGGACCAGGACACACCACAACGTCTTGGACCAGGACACATCACAACGTCTTGGACCAGAACACATCACAACGACTTGGACCAGGACACATCACAACGTCTTGGGCCAGGACACACCACAACGTCTTGGACCAGGACACATCACAACGTCTTGGACCAGGACACATCACAACGTCTTGGACCAGGACACACCACAACGTCTTGGACCAGGACACATCACAACGTCTTGGACCAGGACACATCACTGGAGAACAATATGTTCAACAGCATCATCAGGGTGATCAACATGTTCAGCAGGATCGCCAGATGGGAACAAGATGACCGTCAGCATCACCAATGTTAATGTGATGTTCACAAGATCACCATCACAGGATCAATCTCACAGGATCAACCTCACAGGATCAACCTCACAGGATCAACCTCACAGGATCACCATCACAGGATCACCATCACATGATCACCACCACAGGATCACCACCACAGGATCACCATCACAGGATCAATCTCACAGGATCAAAATCACATGATCACCATCACAGGATCACCACCACAGGATCACCATCACAGAATCACCACCACAGGATCACCATCACAGGGTCCCCATCGCAGGATCCCCATCACAGGATCGCCACCACAGGATCGCCACCACAGGATCGCTACCACAGGATCGCCACCACAGGATCACCGCCACAGGATCACCATCACAGGATCACCACCACAGGATCACCATCACAATCACAGGATCATCACAGGATCACCGCCACAGGATCACCGCCACAGGATCACCATCACAGGATCACAATCACAGGATCATCACAGGATCACCACCACAGGATCACCGCCACAGGATCACCATCACAGGATCACCACCACAGGATCGCCACCACAGGATCGCCACCACAGGATCGCTACCACAGGATCGCCACTACAGGATCACCGCCACAAGATCTCCACCACAGGATCACCACCACAGGATCACAATCACAGGATCACCACCACAGAATCACTATCACAGGATCACCATCACAATATACATAACCACTCCCAAGATTTTCGTCGCCAGAGCTCAGTAAACTGAAGAATTCTATTTAATAATTTTATCCTTTACTTAAAGCTTATATTCTACTGGCACCGTGATCAATACTGTGTTAATTGTATTCTAAACTATCTTGCTGCATACAGTGAAACACTTTCCTGTCTCCTGGGAGGCTGTCTCCAACGAGGATGTCTCCTAGGAAGATGTCTCCTGGGAGGATGTCTCCTGGGAGGATGTCTCCTGGGAGGATGTCTCCCGGAAGGATGTCTCCTGAGAGGCTGTCTCCTGAGAGGCTGTCTTCCTGGTGGCTGTCTTCTTGGAGGCTGTCTTCTTGGAGGATGTCTCCTGGAAGGCTGTCTCATAGGAGGATGTCTCCTGGGAGGCTGTCTCCTGGGAGGATGTCTCCTGGAAGGCTGTCTCATAGGAGGATGTCTCCTAGGAAGATGTCTCCTGGGAGGATGTCTCCTGGGACCATGTCTCCTGAGAGGCTGTCTCCTGGGAGGCTGTCTTCTTGGAGGCTGTCTCCTGGAAGGCTGTCTCATTGGAGGATGTCTCCTGGAAGGCTGTCTCCTGAGAGGCTGTCTCCTAGGAGACTGTCTCCTGGGAGGCTGTCTCCTAGGAGACTGTCTCTTGGGAGGCTGTCTCTTGGGAGGCTGTCTCTTGGGAGGATGTCTCCTGAGAGGATGTCTCCTGGGAGGCTGTCTTCCTGGTGGTTGTCGTTTTTGAAGCTGTCTTCTTGGAGGCTGTCTCCTGGAAGGCTGTCTCATAGGAGGATGTCTCCTAGAAGGCTGCCTCATAGGAGAATGTCTCCTGGAAGGCTGTCTCATAGGAGGATGTCTCCTGGGAGGCTGTCTCCTGGGAGGTTGTCTCCTGGGAGACTGTCTCCTGGGAGGCTGTCTCCTGGGAGGTTGTCTCCTGGGAGGCTGTCTCCTGGGAGGCTGTCTCCTGGGAGGCTGTCTCCTGGGAGGCTGTCTCCTAGGAGGGTGTCTCCTAGGAGGGTGTCTCCTGGCCTGACAGGGTGCGATTTGTATAAAAGACCCACACATAAAAGCAGTACAGTATACGCGGTCGCTACTTACGAGACCATGAAAGGATACATGATAACTACTAGCAAGAGAATCGCATAATACGTGGAAACTTTACACAAGAACATCAGAAAATGCATGATAGCGTCACACAGGAGCACATCAAGAAACACAAGAAAACAGTTAAAATATGGCATTCATGCTCCTTCAGTGGGGGAAAGAGGCTACAGTTTTGTACATGAAACGAAAATCACTGCAGAAGAGACGTTTTGGAAGTGCTCGTTCTCTCTCTCTCTCTCTCTCTCTCTCTCTCTCTCTCTCTCTCTCTCTCGAACAAAGTGGTAGATCGCTCCAGTGTACTCCCAGAGGAGGTAATAAATGAAGCAAACTCTAAATTAATCTATTATATGACGATCAAAACAGTAAATACGAGACACCAACACCAGCGTATTATTACTATTATTTGCATATGTTAAAGGGAGTAATGAACTCGTATAAGTCGTAAGAAGCTTTGCTCCTGTAACTACGAATACTCAAAGAGTTCAATGCTACACAAGCGTACTGTAGCATTGTTCTGTAATTAGAAGCACGGACGAAGGGACGTTACAGCGTAACACTATTACACTACGGGTTTTCCAACACGGAAATTATTACAGTGAGTATTACATCTGCACAGTCCGAGTGTTCCCATAACGCAATTTTCGTACAGAAAGTCGTAATAGCACATTTAAGATTTTTCTCACAAAATAAAGATTATGTAAAATTATTTAGCAGTTCATTCCGGGTGTTCCACAATATAATTACCAAACAGAATAAGGTAGCTGCACACTTGGTATTCCCACAATGAATATATTATATAAAAGAGGGTGGCTGCACACTGCGGGTGTAGCCAATTTCGTTGAATAAGGAAAAAAAAGGTTCCAGCTTCACCACTACCACCACAGTATAGTACGCTCACTACTGCTCAGACATTTCCTACCTAAGCTTATCCTGTAGCACCATCAGCCAGTGTTGCACCTTCGCGCTTCACCTGCATTTACCAGCTACTGCATTCACTAACCCCACACCATCTATCACAGTCTATAACTGACCATCAAGGCGAGCATTGCGGCTATTATCTGTGGTCACTGCCTTAGGGTAGGGATGAGCTCTCAGTGTGTGTCGGGGTGAGGGAAAGGGAGGGATTTTGGGGGTGGAAGGGCAGGAGGGGGTAGATATTTGGGTTATTTGCAGGTATACATCCTACGTGGGCCTTGAGCCTAAAAAGCTGGCAAGCTTGTGTGGTTGATGTATCTTCTATTCTCCTGTGGCTTATGAGCTCTGAGGTTTACTGTCAAGTGTTCATGCCGTGTTGGTCTGTAGCTGTTCGCCAGTGTTTCTCGTTCAGGTTCCTTTATTCAAAAGATATCACATATTTCCAGCTCCTAGCCGTATTTTGACGCATTTTTTGTTGTGGTGACTGCCTACCGAGTGACAGGTAAAAGAAAATCCTCAACCCTGATCCTCAGGAATCCCTCAGACTAAAATATTTGTCAAAGGATTAATGTAAACTCTGGATGGTGGTGGTACAACTCCCACTACGATACTTAATTGATCCTTGGTACTAATCATCTACTCACCCTCTTTTTCTCTCTCTCTCAAGAACAGAGAGCCAATCCTCCAGACAATTATTGCTATGGATTGTGCCCTTCTTGCTCTTGCTAATATCATTTTATTCCTTGTAAGGCATAAAACTGCCCTAAGAATTTGTTTCTCCGAAAGATGCAGTATGTTGCTACATGATTAACTGAAGGCTGCTTAGCTTTTATTTCTGAAAAATGTTGTGTTTGCTTTAAATCTTTTCTACTTTCATGTTTGTTCACTGTAAATAGAAATTATGGAAATGGAATAAACGAGATTGTTCAATGAATTGATTGTTAAATGTTGTGAACTTGTGTTTGCGACTGTGATCGGAGGCACGTGCCCGGAGGCCTCTGCAGTGATTGGTTCCCTGTGCCAGAGATCCCTCCTATCTACCCTCTGATTGGCGGAGACGCATCCCGGAGCGCATCTGATTGGTCAGCGATGATGTCAGCATGGAAAATATCCAGTGAATGACGGGTATCCAGCGAGGGTCTGCACTCACACACCGACTCCTCCTTTCGTTTTAAACTGACAAATTGTACCATGTATTATTGTGTATTTACAAAACTGTTCTTAGAATTGAGAAACTTTGTTGTTAATGTTCAAAAGTTTTTTTTATATCTGAACTCGAGGAACGAAACAGAGTTAACAATTGATTAACAGAGAGACAAACGCATCTGAAGATAATGAAGACGAAAGATTAAGGGACAAAGACGAAGGTCGGAGGAATAAGGAGGCGGCGATGGAGTCGCTCGTGCCACACGTCTGGAAAATAAGAACAGGTGCAAAGCTACAGGTGAGAAACAGTTGAAGAGTCGGAGGTGCGAGGCAAGGAGGTGTAGCGCCCGTGCTCCGTGTTCTTGTGCTCTGCGCACACCACTGCCCTTGTCACAGCCTGTGCGCCCGCTAGTGTCGTTACCATGGCGGACTACCTCGATGTGAGTCTCTCCTCTTACGGGAAAGAAAATATTTGTCTGTGAAGCTACTTTTTACCAGAGACATTTGTTTTTAATGGTGGTATTTGGTTGGACAGAAGTAATGTCTCGTGACTTGTGTTAGTCATGTTGACATGCTCATTGGTTGAGGGCACCGCTGGCGCACCGGTGCTACGCATCTTCAACAATTACAAAATTGAAGAAACGAAGTTATGGTGCAATTTTATACTAGAGAGACGTCGTTGAGTGAAAAATAATTATCGAAATGTAAATTTATTGTGAGGTTTAGGCCTGCGGGTGAGGGTGTGTGCCTGCCTGAGACGGCTGACTAACTCTGCCTCTCTCATCTTTTCAGATGTGGCAAGACATAGAGACTGTGCTCTTGGGAGATATCAAGTTTTCGACCAGCGAAGGAGCCACTTCTACCTTCACACCCACCACCCACCCACAGCCACCCACGCACCCACAAGCCCACATACAGCGGCCAGCAAACCCACAGCAGCACTCACAGTTACACATATTGCCACACCATAGCCTACAACACCATCCGCCCACCCACCTAAACACTCCTGCACACCCCCACACGCCCACCCACCCAAACACACCCACACACTCCCATCCACCCACCCACCCAAATCCACCCACACACTCACATCCGCCCACCCACATAAATCCAATGGCTCAACCACATCCGCCCACAACAGTCACACAAGGTGTGGTTAGCAGCTCGCCGGGGCTGACAGCAGCGGTGGGAGTCAACGTGTGTCAGCCTGAGTCCCGTACACTGTCACCTGCGTCAGGAGACCCATGCCCTACTTCCTCTTCCTACCCAGCCTCCTACAACAGTCACCTGTGGCGCGTCAAGAGCGAGTACGGGGAGCAGGTGGTGCCAGAGGCCAGCTGGGAATACAAGGAGAGCTCTTCATGGAGTGAGTACTACCAAAGCAGCGAGCCCAGTGTGCAGTATGGGTACTTTCCCTCTACCCCGCCCTATCCTGCTGACCTCTATCCTCCCTCCAGCTCCGGCCAGCCAGCCTATCCAACGGGATTACCGCCGATGTCCACCAACCCGCTGTTGACTCCACCTTCATCACCATCACTAATGGTCGGTCAGGTGCCTGCCGGCCTTAATGGTTCCCTGGCACCAAACATGACATCTTGCCTGCCTGTGGGCCTGCCTCACGGTTTCCCGACGGTGACGCAGCAACAGCAGCAGCAACAACAGCAAGCACCCACTAAGCCGAAAACCCGACGAAGACGTACCTGGACTCGACGCAAGGCCATCATCCACACCTGCAATCACAACGGCTGTGCCAAGACGTACGCCAAGTCGTCTCACCTGAAGGCACATATGAGGACTCACACTGGGGAGAAGCCCTACACATGCGACTGGAAGGGCTGTGGCTGGAAGTTCGCGCGCTCAGACGAGCTCACCCGTCACTACCGTAAACACACAGGTGATAGACCTTTCCAGTGCCGACTCTGCGAGAGAGCTTTCTCTCGCTCAGATCACCTCAGTCTTCACATGAAGCGTCATATGGCTCTCTGAGCCTTACATCGTCACATGACTCTCAGACTCACGTGAGATGTCAAGAGACTAAGACTCACCAGAAATGTACCATGGCTCTCTCAGACTTACAAGTTTCTTGTACTGTAAGGCTCATGAGAAGTGCTATATAGAACTGAAAACTTCGAAGTAGACGTCTAGTTGCCTTTTGAGGATTACAAAGTGTCATAACGCTCACTGAGGCTCACAGGACCTTCAGCTTTATGTAAATGATCCTAGGAATTTGTCTCATTCCTGCACCATGACGTACTTCCCAGTACAGTGCCATTATATATATATATAATATATATATATATATATATATATATATATATATATATATATAAAATATAATATTTATATATTTCAAGTAACCTCATACTCTCAGGCGCCTTGCCCAAGTGCCAAATGATTGCCAACAGTGCCATAAGCTCTAGCATCTCGCCCAGCCATCGTAGGAGGACCAGGGTGAGGTTCAAGGAGTGCCAAACTCTCAGTGGTATTTGAAGACTGATCTCGTGATTGTTAAATAAGGAGAAGGCTCATTCATTATTCTCTCTTATCTATAGCAATTTGCGCCTCTCTTCTAAAGTACTTTATGCACCATATTCATGTATCCAATCTCTCTCTTACTTAATATTTTTTTCTGCTGGCTCTTTTTTGGAACGACAATTACACTTTCCTCTCTCTCTCTAGCCTCACCCCATGTATGGTAATGTATAAGTATAGCCTTCAACTCTAGTCATACATGAGCATTATCGGCTCGTATACTGTACCGTCAGTAGAATATAAATGTATAAAGTTATTTTGTACCTTTTTTATATAATACATTAATAAAAAGTCCTAATACTTTTTTTTTCATTTTATCCCAGTAACTTATAATGAATGGTAAATATATCACCAATGTATATATATATATATATATATATATATATATATATATATATATATATATATATATATATATATATATATATATATATATATATATATATATATTATATCTTTTCTTTCAACAAACCGGCCGTATCCCACCGAGGCAGGGTGACCCACCGAGGCAGGGTGACCCACCGAGGCAGGGTGACCCACCGAGGCAGGGTGACCCACCAAGGCAGGGTGACCCACCAAGGCAGGGTGACCCACCGAGGCAGGGTGACCCACCGAGGCAGGGTGACCCAAAAAGAAAAACAGAAGTTTCTCTTAACTATAATAATATGTACAGGAGGAGGAGTTACTAGCCCCTTGCTCCCGGCATTTTAGTCGCCTCTTAGGACACACGTGGCTTACGGAGGAATAATTCTGTTCCACTGCTCCATGGAAGTGCCGAATAGGTAAAATTGGTCAATTAGCAAGAACTTATTTAAAATTAAGTCCTTTCTAAAATTTTCTCTTGTACGTTTCAAAATATATCTTTTTCATTTATGTTAACGTAAAAAATAATAATTTTGTACCAGAAAAACCTTAGAAAACTTATCTAAGCTTATAACAAGAGCAATTTAATTTAGCCTAATCAAACTAAATATATTTTAGACAAGTTTACAATAATTTAATAATAAACAAACAATGAAATATATTTCTTTTGTTAGGTTCAGAATGATTTTTGCGAAATTATTGCATACACAAATTTTAGCTTGCATTATTCGGCAAGAAGAGCGTTGATATATAACTGACTGATGAAAGATGAGGAATCAACATTTTTCAGTGACGGTAAGCCAGGCATTATACACGTCGGCCGGCAGGAACTTGTACACACACCAAGCCATAACATTATCCTTAACAACATCTCGCAGTGACTACTGTTGTCTGATGATTTGGCTTTAGGAAAAATAAATCGCAGGTTTAACAAATGAAACCTATACTATGGCGTCCGAGACTCGTGTAAGTAGCAGTTGTTATTAAGATGAAGTGGATGTTACTGAACATGTCCAACCACACACATCGCCTTCACTCATGGAAAATTCACTCACGTTATTGGAAAAGCTTACTTTTACGAGTATATGGACGGCGGGGTCAGTTCAAGGTTGTATGGAAGTTACCCTTACACTGACCACGAGTGGTGTCGGGCAAAGATTGTGGGCTACGGATGGTAAGAAACCTGCAGCAGGGGTGGAACCCAGCTAGTTTACACGATTTACCTTCAGCCATCAACGAGCAATAACAAACATGAACCTCTAGTTACAAAAAGACTTGCTAGAACATCTGTCCCGCAACTACAAATGTCAAATAACTTCAAAAATCTTACAACCATGAGCGTCTGACGCGTACAGAATTCTAAGAAGCACAACTGTCTGACAGTCAGTGAGTGTCCTGGTGAAACTCAGATGTTCGTCCTGATAAGCCGGTAAGTCGTGAAGATCAGGATAAAGAGAAAGGCGTGGTAATACTGATATCCAAGTTACACCTGGTCGTCAAGACTACACTGGTAGGTCAGCTGTAAGACAGACCTGGTCGTCAAGACCACACTAGCAGGTCAGCTGTAAGACAGACCTGGTCGTCAAGACCACACTGGCAAGTCAGCTGTAAGACAGACCTGGTCGTCAAGACCACACTGGCAGGTCAGCTGTAAGAGAGACCTGGTCGTCAAGACAACACTGGAGGGTCAGCTGTAAGAGACCTGGTCGTCAAGACCACACTGGCAGGTCAGCTGTAAGACAGACCTGGTCGTCAAGACCACACTGGCAGGTCAGCTGTAAGACAGACCTGGTCGTCAAGACCACACTGGCAGGTCAGCTGTAAGACAGACCTGGTCGTCAAGATCACACTAGCAGGTCAGCTGTAAGACAGACCTGGTCGTCAAGACCACACTGTCGGGTCACCTGTAAGACAGACTTGGTCGTCAAGACCACACTTGCAGGTCAGCTGTAAGACCTAGTCGTCAAGACCACACTAGCAGGTCAGCTGTAAGACAGACCTGGTCGTCAAGACCACACTGGCAGGTCAGCTGTAAGACAGACCTGGTCGTCAAGACAACACTGGAAGGTCAGCTGTAAGACAGACCTGGTCGTCAAGATCACACTAGCAGGTCAGCTGTAAGACAGACCTGGTCGTCAAGACCACACTGTCGGGTCACCTGTAAGACAGACTTGGTCGTCAAGACCACACTTGCAGGTCAGCTGTAAGACAGACCTAGTCGTCAAGACCACACTAGCAGGTCAGCTTTAAGACAGACCTGGTCGTCAAGACCACATTGGTAGGTCTGCTGTAAGACATACCTGGTCGTCAAGATCACACTGACGGGCCAGCTGTAAGACAGACCTGGTCGTCAAGACCACATTGGTAGGTCTGCTGTAAGACAGACCTGGTCGTCAAGATCACATTGGTAGGTCAGCTGTAAGACAGACCTGGTCGTCAAGACAACACTGGAAGGTCAGCTGTAAGACAGACCTGGTCGTCAAGATCACACTAGCAGGTCAGCTGTAAGACAGACCTGGTCGTCAAGACCACACTGTCGGGTCACCTGTAAGACAGACTTGGTCGTCAAGACCACACTTGCAGGTCAGCTGTAAGACCTAGTCGTCAAGACCACACTAGCAGGTCAGCTGTAAGACAGACCTGGTCGTCAAGACCACACTGGCAGGTCAGCTGTAAGACAGACCTGGTCGTCAAGACAACACTGGAAGGTCAGCTGTAAGACAGACCTGGTCGTCAAGACCACATTGGTAGGTCTGCTGTAAGACATACCTGGTCGTCAAGATCACACTGACGGGCCAGCTGTAAGACAGACTTGGTCGTCAAGACCACACTTGCAGGTCAGCTGTAAGACAGACCTAGTCGTCAAGACCACACTAGCAGGTCAGCTTTAAGACAGACCTGGTCGTCAAGACCACATTGGTAGGTCTGCTGTAAGACATACCTGGTCGTCAAGATCACACTGACGGGCCAGCTGTAAGCCAACCGGTCGTCAAACCACACATGGAGGCCAGCTATAAGACAGACCTGGTCGACAAGACCACATTGGTAGGTCTGCTGTAAGACAGACCTGGTCGTCAAGATCACACTGACGGGCCAGCTGTAAGACAGACCTGGTCGTCAAGACCACACTGGCGGGCCAGCTGTAAGACAGACCTGGTCGTCAAGACCACATTGGTAGGTCTGCTGTAAGACAGACCTGGTCGTCAAGATCACATTGGTAGGTCTGCTGTAAGACAGACCTGGTCGTCAAGATCACACTGACGGGCCAGCTGTAAGACAGACCTGGTCGTCAAGACCACACTGGAGGGCCAGCTATAAGACAGACCTGGTCGACAAGACCACACTGGCGGGCCAGCTGTAAGACAGACCTGGTCGTCAAGATCACACTGGCGGGCCAGCTGTAAGACAGACCTGGTCAAGACCACACTGGCGGGCCAGCTGCAAGACAGACCTGGTCGTCAAGACCACACTGGAGGACCAGCTATAAGACAGACCTGGTCGACAAGACCACACTGGAGGGCCAGCTATAAGACAGACCTGGTCGACAAGACCACACTGGAGGGCCAGCTATAAGACAGACCTGGTCGACAAGACCACACTGGAGGGCCAGCTATAAGACAGACCTGGTCGACAAGACCACACTGGCGGTAGGCTTAAGTTTTCAGCTCCAGGATAAATTCCTGCAACTCACCTCTCCCCAACACCACAACCTTCCAGTCCACCACCATCCACCGGCCTACCACCATCCACCAGCCCACCATTACCCTCTAGCCCGCCACCACCCACCATCCTCCAGTCGTCCATCACCCATCAGCCTACCACCACCTTCCAGTCCACCTATCAGCCCACCACCACTCTCCAACCCACCCCCACCCACCGGCCGACAACCACCCACCAGCCCACCATCACCCTGTAGCCCACCATCCTCCAGTACACCACCACCCATCAGCCCACCATTACCTTCTAGCCCCCACCCACCATCCATCCCCCAATCCACCACCACCCACCAGCCCACCACGTCGCACCATTTCCCTCTACCCCACCACCACCCACCATCCCCTAGTCCACCACCACCCATCAGCCCACCACCTCCCACCAGCCTATCACCATCCTTCTGCACACCAACACCTTCCAGCCCACCATCGCCCACAAGTCTACCACCACTCTCCAGTCCACCACCACCCACCAGTCCACCAACACCCATCAGTCCATCAACCATCAGCCCACCATCACTCATCCGCCCACCTCCACCCATCACCAACTTCAAACACCATTACTCTCCAACCCATTTATACCTGGCGTTTACCTGGAGAGGGTTTCGGGGGTCAACGCCTCCGCGACCCGGTCTGATACCAGACCT